ATGGAGTCTCGTTCTGTAGCCCAGGCTGGAGTGCAGTAGCACAATCTGGGCTTACTGCAACCTCCATCTCCTGGGTCCCAGTTCAAGGATTTCTCCTACCTCAGCCTCCCAAGTAGCTGGGATTACAGGCACGAGCCACCATGCCCAGCTAATTTTTGTATTTTTTAGTAGAGAAGAGATTTCACCATGTTGGCCAGTCTGGTCTTGAACTCCTGACCTCATGATCCGCCCACCTCAGCCTCCTGAAGTGCTGGGATTACAGGCGTGAGCCACTGCGCACGGCCTCATGAGATGTTTTTAAGCAGAGAAGCAACATAGTCACATTTGGGCTTTAGAAATATAATTCCAGCAGGTGGATTCTTAACATTGACTATAATTAGAATCACTTGAGAAGCTTTCAAAAATTACAGGATAGGCCAGGCGTATTTGGGAGGCTGGAGCAGGCGGAACCCAAGGTCAGGAGATGGATACCATCCTAGCTAACACAGTGAGATCCCATCTCTACTAAAAATAAAAAAAATTAGCTGGTTGTGGTGGCATGGGCATTTAGTCCCAGCTACTCGGGAGGCTGAGGCAGGAGAATCGCTTGAACTCAGGAGGCGGAGGTTGCAGTGAGCAGAGATCGCACCATTGCTTTCCAGCCTGGGCAACAGAGTGAGACTCCATCTCAAAAAAAATACAGGCTAGGGAGCCAGTATAGAACAATTAAAACAGAATTTCTGGGAGTGGGACTCAGTTTTCTTTTGTTATTTGTTTTGAGGCAAGGTCTTGCTCTATTGCCCAGGCTGGAGTGTAGTGGTGTGATAATGGCTCACTGCAGCCTTGACCTCCCAGGCTAAGTGACCCTCCCAGCTCTGCCTCCCTAGTAGCTGGAACTACAGGTGCACCACCACACTTGGCTAGTTCTTAAAAAATATTTTGTAGAGATGGGGTCTCCCTATGTTGCCCAGGCTAGTCTTCAACTCCTGGCCTGATGTGATTCTCCTGCCTCAGCCTCCCAAAATGCTGGGATTATAGGTGTGAGCCACTGTACTTGGTCTCTTGCTTTTTAAGTTCTTCAGAAGATTCTAATGTATGGTGAGGGTCAAGAACTTTTCTCTAGGAGGAAGAACTGAAAGATGGAAAAAACTAATATTAAGAACCTACTACGTCTGAGATTTTGTTCCAAACGCCTTATACAATAACTACAGTATCTATATGCATATTAGGATTTTATACGTATCTAGTATCCTGACCAATCTCAACTATTTTAAGCCCTGTGTGATGAAAAATTATGCTGCTCCTAACCTCAAGGTAGATATTATAACCCTATAATCCCTAAAATTTGTTGTAATTTTACCAAACAAGGAAACTGAGGCACAGACCAGTGAAATAACCCATTCAAGATTATCAAATTACTAAATGACACAATTGGACTCAAACATAAGCCTTTCTGGTGCTCCAAACCCACACTCCTTCCACTATATACCACTGCCTATGAGCATAACTTAACTTCAGAACAATTCCAAAGTAGCTATCATGATCCTCATTTTACAGATAAAGAAATTAGTCCCAGAAAGATTAATGTGAGCAAATCACAAATCACAGCTAATAGATGGAAGAGCTGGGAGAATTTAAACTCAGCCCTATTTAACTCCAAATCCATGCTCACGAAGGTAAAGAATATAGTACATATTCAACATTCAATATAATTCCACTTTCCTCTGAAAGGAAAGCAGCAAGTTGGGTTGTTAGTGTAACATAGAGTATTATTCCTAGTGGCTTCCTCTTCCTTCTCGAGTTTTAGGTGGCTAAACTTCTATTGAACTATCAATCCAAGTCACTTTTTTTGTTGTTGGAGTTGGGAAGGCAGAACTCTGTCATAACCTTCCATGATACCAACCTGGGAAAACTCTAACTCTGGCCAAATCCAGCACTACGCACTTCACACCCTTATTTAAGTGGCTGAATCATGCTAATGTGTCTCCTTTTAAATTAATTGCCCTGAACCTCAAATGGGCATTCATTGCCCAGAATTATTATTGCTTTTCTTTAGTAAGTTCATTTTCCCACTGTTAGAGAATATTATTTCCTATCACTTCTCTCCTCAGCCCTCCAACACAACCTGATAAAATTCCATCCCACCCCCATTCCATAATCTCCCTTCTCTGTTGCATCAACAATTTATACCTTTCCACTGGGTTATCTGATATAATTTACAAACATCTCCTAGCACCCTTATTTAAAAACATCAAAAACCAAAAGCAAAACCCTCCTTTGAATCCACATCTGGCTATAGCTACCACTCAACTTCTTTGCTACCCTGCTCAGCTAAATCTTGGAAGAGTTGGTTTCATCCATCTCCTTTTCACCCCTTCACCAGTCATCTCTGTTCACCAATGTCCCTGAAATTGACATTATCAGGGGCCCAAGGGACCTCCATGTTGCCAAATGCAGTGATCTTTTCTGTCTTCAGCCTCTCAACAGCCTTTGAAATACCTGATCACTACCTTCTTGAAACTTCCTTCTGGCTTTGGTGACACCACATTCCTGGTCTTCCTACCTCACTGGTTGCTTGCTACTTCACTTGCTTCTACTCAGACTCTTGTTTTACAGGTGTCTCCTCCTCCACCTGATCTCCAAGTATTAGAGTACCACAGGGTCTGTCCTGGGTCCCCTTCTCTTCTCTATTCACACATTTTTTCTAAGTGATCACATTCATGCTCATGTTTTTGGAGATGGGTTTGTTACCACTTACAAAGGGATTAGATTCTACATCAGATCATAAAGAAAAAAAATCTCATAAAATTGAATTTTTTTAAATTCCCTAAGTCATCCATAAAGCATGGTAGTTGTCATTTTATACATGTTAATTTTATATATGGCTGTGGCCATATGTATGTGCTAAACTGAAGAAAAGCACACTAATAAGCCCAACAATTAGGTTTTTCCTAGTATGTTGAGATAGATTAATTTTATTTATTTATTTATTTTTGAGACAGGTTCTCACTCTTGTCACCCAGGCAGGAGTGCAGTGGCACTATTGCAAGTCACTGCAGCCTCAACCTCCTGAGCTCAAGCAGTCTTCCTGCTTAAGCCTCCCAAGTGGCTGGGACTAGAGGCATGTGCCACAATGCCTGGCTAATGTTTTAATTTTTGGTAGAGATGGAGCTCTGCCATGTTGCCCAGGCTGGCTTCAAACTTCTGAGCTGAAGTATTCTGCCCACCTTGGCCTCCCAAAGTGCTGGGATTACAGGTATGAGCCACTACACCCGGCCAAAGATAAGTTATTTTTATTGAGCAACAGACGAAGTACTTGGGGAATTCCTATTTTTAAAAAGTAGACACACTTGGGACAGCAAGGCCACCACCCCCGACTATAATAGGGAGTTAAGGGACTGAACCCATCTGAGAAACAGCAGATTCACATCCTCCATCTCATCTCACCTCACACTTGCTTTCCTTGATTGTAAAGAACTCACCCATACAATTTCAAGTATTTCTCATTCTCTTTGGTCGAATACATACTAAATTTTTATAGTTAAATGCTCAGATGGTGTGATTGCTTTTACCATTAATGTGTTGATGATTTGCAAATTAATTTCTCTAGCCCTAATTTTTGTTCCTGAGCTTCAGATTCAGAACCAACTACCTATTTGGATGTCTCCAATTAAAGTTAACTAGATATCTTAATCTGTCTAAAACATAACAATTGATTCCACTCTCCATGACTCACTTGTACCAAAAGTCCTTCTTTCTTAGGCTTTCTTAGCTCAGTAAATGGCACGCCATCTACCCAGCCAAAAAACTAGGAGTGATCTTTGATTCCTCCCTTTCTCTCACCTCTGCATAACATCCGTCAGGAACATTTATTTAGCTCTACCTCCAAAATACATCCTAAATCTATCCATGTATCTCTCTCAGCACATATGCCAACCTAGACAAGCCAGGCTCATCATTCTACTCTGACTAATCTGTTTCCACTCTTAGCTTTTCTATGGTCCATTCTCCTAATAGCCAGTGTAATCCTTTATGAAACATCCACTCATTCATTCACCAAACATTTATTGAAAGTGAATGAGAACTGGGGATACAACAGCAAAGCAAAGTATATCCCTGTGCTCAGGGACTTACATTCCAGAAGAGGGAGAGGCAGTAAATAATTTTGTACAAATGCAATAAATATAAAAAATTAAATGTGATAAACTAAATCATGTTCCTCTCTCCACAAAAATTTTCAGTTTCCCAAGGTGGAAGTCCAAATTCCATACCGTGACCTTGTTACAAGATTCTGTGAGATCTGGCTTCTGTTTGTCCTTCCAACCTTATGTGTACTACTCTATCACGCTGCAACTTGGCTCCAGTCACACTGGCATTCTTTCTATTCTCTCAAGTTCCAAATGTTTTCCCTTCTTCAGTCACATTTCCCCTATCTGGAATGCTGTTTCCAGATCTTGGAAAGGTTGCTTCCTCTTAGCTCAAGTTATCACTTCAACAGAGTGAATTTCGCTAATTCAGCTCCACCATCATTTTCTCTATCAATTACACCTTTTTGTTTCATAGCACTTATTACTTTACAGAAATTGTGGTTATTTGTTAACAATATCTGTTGTCCCTACTAACATGTAAGCTTCGTGAGAAGAGGAATCTTAAGATGTTGTTTACTCAAGTGTCCCTCAAAGTCTAGAACAGTGCCCAACATAAGAGGATACTGATAAATATTTTTTCAAAGAATTTGCACACGTCTATGGTCCCAGCAGTTTGGGAGACCGAGGTGGGAGGATCACTTGAGCCCGGGAGTTCGAGGCTGCGATTGCGCCACTGCGCTCCACCCTGGGCGACCGAGCAAGACCTTGTTTCAAAAAAGAAAAAAAAAAAAAAAAAAAAAAAAAAAAAAAAGGATAAATAATGACGGAGTACATGATAATTAAATAGCCTAGTCTCTCATCCAGCCAGGTTCCGCCTCCAGGACCCACTGACGCTCGCTCCCTCTTCCGATGCTGCCTGGGGCACAGGAAGTAGTCTGCGCAGGCGCCGCAGAACCGCGGAGCTTTCTGGGTAAAGATGGATGCCCACGATCTCTTCCGCCGGCTCGGCGCTGGGGCCAAATTCGACGTGAGACGCTTCTCGGCAGACGCAGCCCGATTCCAGGTACTGTACCCAAGGGACCGAGGCAGGAGAAGGAGCAGGAATCCGGGAACGAACCCGCTGCTGGGGTAGGCCGGCGCACATGGACACCCGTGGCCTGGCTCTCACCATCCTTGGGGTATTTTCCCTCCTTTTGTGTTGAGCTTACCTGCACGCCTAGTCCGTTCAAGCCTTCTGAATAAACTCTTTATCCTGTTGTAGACTTAGTTGGGCCTGGCACGGAAACGCTCTTTCCTCCCTCTTATTCAAAGCAAAGTGGGAATCCTCCTTTCAAAAGGAACTTTTTCTCCGAACCTGGAGGAAAGGAATTTCGAAAATAGAAACAACCGAAGATGGAGAAAATAGATTCTCTCACTGTAGTCTCAAGTTTGGTTTGGCTGCGTATACTTGTTCTGGGCATGGTTCTTTTCATTGCTTCAGCCCCACGGCTTAAGTAACGAATGAGAAGAGCGATTTAGAAATGGGGAATCTTAACTAGAGAAGTAGTGAGTGATGAATTAGGGGAAGTCAATTGGGGCCTGGTTGGGGAAAATCTTGAATGTTCACTTTGCTGTTTGGGCTGGGGACTTGCGTATGTGTGTGTGGCATGTGTTTCTTCTTTCTCTAACGGGTGAGTATGTAGTCTGGAGCCAGATTATCTGGGTCTAAATGCTAAGTCTGCCAGTCACTAATTTTGAGAACTTCCTCAAGTTACTTAATTTCTGAATGCCTTGGTTTTCTCATCCGTAATACTGCTGTTTACCTTATGGAGTTGTAAATATGAAGCAATTTAATAGGTATAAACATGCTTAGAAATCTGCTTGACATTTAGTAAGCATATGTGTTCGTTGCTAATGTTAATTTGTTACTATTATGAGGTCAGAGAAGGTCTCTTCAGGTTCCATTTGCCCAAATACTTGGTAAAAGGGTAGAAAAGATGGGGAGTCACTGGACTCATGACTTTACTGCCAGTCTTGCTTGAATGAAAGCAATGGTATTCTTGTCAGTAGGTTTCATTTTAATTTTTTTTGGCTTTAGATAGGAAAAAGGAAATATGACTTCGACTCTTCGGAGGTGCTGCAAGGACTGGACTTTTTTGGAAACAAGAAGTCTGTCCCAGGTGTGTGTGGAGCATCACAAGCACATCAGAAGCCCCAAAATGAAGAGGTAAAAAAAGAGAGCCTAACTGAAAGGAAGAGGGAGCAAAGCAAGAAAAAAAGGAAGACAATGACTTCAGGTTAGTGTTTGATTCCTGTTACTTTTTTCTCTTTAATTTTTTTCAATTATAAAAATAATACAAGCTTTATGGTTACAAGTCAGATAATAAGGTCATTTGTCAGTCAGTTAATGGCACTCAGGTTGTTTCCAGGTATTTGCCATTAGAAATATTATTACAGTAAAAATAATTGTAAGTAAAGATATTTATACATAAATCCTTCTGTACAGGTACTGTTATTTCTGCAGAATAGCATCCCAAAGATAGCATTATATGGTGAAATGGTATGTACACTTTCTTTGAAAAATACTACAGAATGACTTCCTGTGTTCTTGTCAGTGCTGGTGTTTTTTGCCAAGCTAATGAATGAAACTATTTTGTATTTATATTTTCTTGATAACAGGTGAGGTCAAGCATATTTTTGTATGTTTTACTGAACATTAACATTTCACCTTTTGTGAATTGTTTGTTCTTACTCTTGTCCATTTTCCACAGAGTGTGTGTGTGTGTGTGTGTGTGTGTGTGGTATTTTTTGTCTTGGGGTTATTTGTCTTTTTTTAAAAAAAATCTATAATATTAACTTTCCTAGCCATTTACCTTTTTTTTGGTAAACACTTGGGTTATACAATGATGAAAAGTAAATTTCATTCCTACTGTTTATGTCCAGTCCCTTGTTTTCTCCGGAAACAACCACGGTTAATTTATTTTGTATTTTTCTGGAGATACTCTATGCCCATATATTTATGCCTCATTGAAAAATAAAAACAAGTAACTCTGTATAGTATTTTATATAGTTTATAAACAGGATTACTGCATATACACTGTTGGGAACCTCTCCTACTACCTTCCCCTTTTTTAAAAACAATGTATCTCGAAGGTTGTTTGAAATCAGTAGGAAGTACATTGCCTTCTTCGTTTTAACACATGTATCCCATTGTGTATTGCAAAATTGATTGAGCAAGTTTCTGTGCAATGGATATTTATAGTTTGTTTTCACATTTTTGTTGTAGTTTTTCAGTGTCATTCTACTTATCTTTGCATGTATATCTGTCCCATAAATTCTTAGAAGTGGAATTGCAGAGTTAACCGATAGATTTATCCACCAGAAACATTGTATCTGTAGAAAGTACTTTGCCTTGTTCATTGTAACACAGCTTAGTAGCCCATCATGCATTGTAGGGATGGTCCATGATTGATTTGACACGTTGCTGTGTGATGGATTTAGTGCATTGTTTGGATGCTTTTGCTGTTGACAATGCTGCAGTAAAAGTCATTCTCCTTCCCTGGCTGCAAAGAGGTTTCATAAAACCTTTTACCAAGATTAATTAAAAAAAAAAAACAACATGCCACAAACTTAGGAAAAAGATTCAAATGTTGGGCCACCAGAAATATACATCTATGTACTTTAACCATTGTGGCAATAAATGTATCTAGGCCATAGATCTATGATAAATGTGTAGTCATGTATCTATTTTTAACTAGAAAATCGAAGAGCTTGTGAATTAGTAATGATTTGGGTCTATTAGTATCAATTGTCTCATGAAGGGAACAAATTTGTTTTAAAAAAGTTATTCTACTTTGTGATGCTTTCCAGCAAGGTATGAGAAATTTCTCTTTTTGTAAATTTGCCTCTTCATGTACATTGTACCCTTATTGTACTACATTGTACATCTGTATATTGAGGAAATTAGCTCCATGTCTAGCATATTATGTTTACAAATATGTTTCCAGATTGTCGTATGTCATTGTTTATTTATTTACTTTTTGGCCTTCTGTGCATTACGTTTGTTTTTTAAAAATTCTAGGCTGGGTGCAGTGGCTCACGCCTATAACCCCAACACTTTGGGAGGCGAGGTGAGCGGATCACCTGAGGTCAAGAGTTTGAAACCAGCCTGGCCAACATGGTGAAACCCCGTCTCTACTAAAGTAAACTATCTGGACATGGTGCCAGCCACCTGTAATCTCAGCTACTTGGAAGGCTGAGGCAGGAGAATCACTTGAACCCCGGGGGGGTGGAGGTTGCAGTGAGCCGAGATCATGCCATTGCTCTCCAGTCTGGGCAACAAGAGCAAAACTCCATCTCAAAAAAAAAAAAAAATTCTAGGCTGTGTGCAGTGGCTCACGCCTATAATCCCAACACTTTGGGGAGGCTGAGGTGGGCGGATCACCTGAGGTCAGGAGTTTGAAACCAGCCTGGCCAACATGGTGAAACCCTATCTCTACTAAAACCACAAAAAAATGAGCTGGACGTGTAATCTCAGCTACTTGGAAGGCTGAGGCAGGAGAATCACTTGAACACAGGAGGCAGAGGTTGCAGTGAACCAAGATTGCGCCACTGCATTTCAGGCAGATGACAGAGCAAGACCCTGTCTCAAAATAAATAAATAAATAACTTCCATGTTTTTTTATTTGTGGTTTCTCTTTGACTCTGTGGGATTTTATTTGGAGTGAATAGGAAACTAAAAATTTTTTTCAGCTGTCTAAATAATTGTCTTAATACCATAATTGTCTTAATACCATACATTGGCATTTTGTCTCATGTTGATGAATTGTTTTACTACCATATGTTGATAATCTATGTTTCCTCCATTGGATTTTAATACAACCTTAATTATAAACTTAATTTCAATATATATTCAAGTCTGTCTCTGGACCTCTTCTGTTTTGTTTCTGAAGTGTACACCAATACTACCTTATTTTAATTTCTATGATCTTATATATTATAAAATCCAGTAGAGTGGTGAGGCATACCAATATTTTGGGCAACTCAATATTTTCTTCCCACAGTGATCTACAGAATCATTGCAATCCCAATTAGAATTCCAGAAGACTTTTTTGTAGAAATTTCTGCTAAAGCTTTGGCTATCTTTCTTCAAACATTCTATAATAAGCAGATACTATTTATTCTCTGGCCTTCCAGAAAGTCAACAAGTAAAATGCCTTGAGCATCCAAAAAACCAGTTGCCATTGCCTTTGCTTTTGATTAGTCCACTTTTGCTTTGGCTGGACCACTACTACCTCTTGGTAGCCATTTTTTTTTTTTTTAATTTATTTTAT